GTGTGTGTGTGTTCTTTTTTGTTCTACACTAGAACTCTTTTGTGTTTTTCGTTTTGTTTTTTTTTTTTGGTTTTTGTATGTCTACCAATTGTCTGTTGTTGTTTACACTTCACTCACTATATATATATATATATATATATATATATGTATATGCAATCGATAACTGTAAAATAAAACGCAAAAAAAAAAAAAAAATTCAAAAACATCAACTAACTGAGCTCACAAAATATTTTAGTTAGACAAATGAACTTGATACTAAATCAGCCACTAAATGTAAGACATAATCTAACTGAAGATAATTTTTCAAATCAACAAAAAAAAAAAAAAAAAAAAAAAAAGAACAAATGATATATTACACATATATTATACATATATATATATATATATATATATATATACATACATATATATTAAAATAAATCATCGTCAGATTCATTTAGTAGTTTAGTGCCCCAATTTTTCTTATTGATGCGAATCTTAAGAATATTTTTAAGCGCCATTAGTTAGATCTTTCATACAAGAAGAAGAAGAAGAAGTGTAGTCTCAAATAAGATTTGTTCTTATAGGCAAGCACTTCTCCTTTCTTCTAATGGCATTGTTTTTTTTTTCATTTTTTTTTTTTTTTTCAATTATATATATATTTTTTATTTGCTTTTAAGGGATATTAAAATAGATTCGCTTTAAGAGCTTACACTTACACACAAGTTAATTATCGACTTTTTTCAATGAAATTTTAAAAAATATTATTACGTTTTATAGAAAAAAAAAAATTTTATTCTTATCGCAAGTACGTCGTTGTGCCTGCTTTATAATGATGATGATGATGATGATGATGATGACGATGATTGTTATGATGATTGTTATGTTAATTTGGAACAGGTTTTTCCCTCTATCGCTTCTATCGCGTCCATGTATTTAGGGTGCTTTTAAAAAACTCAACATTTTTCGTGGTTTTTCAATAATACTTAACCATATGCTGAAAAAAAAAAATATTTAACTGCAATTTCTATTGCACTTTATAACAAATTGCTCGTTTTTTTTTTTTTTGTTTTTTATTTTGTTGTTGTTGTAAATTTAACAGCATTAAACATCAAAGAAGTCTTATATATATATATATATAGAAAAAGAACAATAAAACTTCAAAATGCAATCACTTTTATGTGCAATTAGTTAACGAAACGAGCGAACGATTATAAGTGTTTTGCTAATGGTTTAATGAAAGCGCGTCGAAATCATTTAAATGGATTTCCAAAGGACAGATCTCTAATCATCAGATATGATGAGGATTTTAAAATAATTTCCTCTTTCACTTTCAAAAAAAAAAAACCTCTCAAAAAAGTTTTATTTACCGAACCATCCATAAGAGTTGAGAGAATAATTCAAAAAGTTAACGATATCGAATGACAAGTACTTTAAATACATATATATATATATGCCTTATCTAGGTAATAATAAGATTTAATATATATATCTATCTAGAAAATATTAAGCCTTCAGAGAGAGTTGAAAAGAAGAAATTTGGCCCGACACAGTGAAAATGGGGACACAGCTAAACCAATTTCGTTCCTATGCGTATATCTGCGAGGTGAAAATCTTTGATAAAACTACTATCTAATCAAACTGAGTATAAAATAAAAAAAAAAAAGATTATATCATAATAGCTCGGATCGCTCGGTTTACTTTATTTATTTTTTTTTTTTTTTGCAAAGATAACGTCCTATGTAAACGTCATTGTTCACAACGTTCGGCAATTAGGAAATCGTGACCCACAAATGCGTAAATATAAGCTCCCGTATAAATATCTGAAGCGCCGAACAGTGCAAATATTATTACGGATATAACCTTAAGAGGCAGTAGTTAATATCCGATATATTCGATCTAAATCTAAGCAATACAAGGGAATACAAAGTATGAGTTTGAATATGAATTTTTTCAATCACAATCCCAATGAACGCTGAAGCTCAAACAGACGAGTTCGCAATGGGGCTCGCAATGCGTGCTTTGAATAAATTGCATATATCTCCAGTGATGTCCATAAATTTCTTCACAGAAGCAAACCATTTTTATACCCTACATCATTTGTAGCACAAGACATGTTAAATTTGTGCGGATGTATCCAACACCCAGAAGGACTTGAGAGATAATCACTTTTTATTATTATTAAGCTTATCTATGCGTTTGTCCGTTCGCCTGTCCGTCCATCTTAGTTTCTTAGGTGCAACCTTCTAGCCACGATTTTTGCGATATTTCGCTGAGCATTGATACACCGACATGTTTTGGCCCAAGGACGAAACTTCTATATAGAAAGCCTTTTATTTTGAGCAATCTTTTAATCAACGTCTCTACTGAATGAAATGGTGTACGATGTGGGTGTAATGGTGGGCCACGCCCCGCTATAGTATTTTGGATTTTCAAATTTCTTCTACTGTATATATATATATATATGAATGCCACACAAAAGAATCGCATTACCATCTCTATATTCGACTAAAGTAGATCGCCATGTTACGTGATCGCAAATTTTTCGGGAATTTTTTTTCACAACAGGTGGCTTTTTAAATTTATTTGCATAACTTTAGAGATACTAACCCTATCAAGTGTTTGAGAGATGTGTCCGCACAGGCACATACCAACGGATAACTTAAAAAAAAAAAAAAAAAAAAAAATTATCTTCGATCGTGACCGAAGTTTTTATAAACATCGCCGTAATTAAAAAAAAAAAAAAAAAAAAAAAGACAAAGGTGTAATATGAAGTGGGCGTAGCTGATTTTTTCTATTTTTAAAATTTTTTCGCCTAGGCGTGTGGGTGTTGCGGACCGTGTCTTGTGAAAAGGTTAG